TTACTCTGCGCTGCGCAAAACTCCACATTTGAACAGTCAATAGCAAATACTTAAACTAACAACAAAACATACTTGCAGTCGCGGATTCAGAAGCGCCAGATTGTCATAGCAAAGTCGGAATTGACCCTGTCGATTAAAGCTGTCGTCCATAAAATGCGTTGCACAAATTCTAACATCTGGGTTGTGCTGTTCTGTTGTAAATAAATCTTAACCAATGATTCCTAATTGCATCTACTTTCGGAAGGCCAAATAAAGTGCTTTTGCTTTCGCACTGAAACACACAGCGTCTCCCTGACATGGCTGCATCAACACTACTGCTGTTCCTGAAACCACGCCTTCTTTCTTTGCGTGCACATTTGGGCGGCATTATGCTAATATTTCCACATAGTGACGTAGATATGTGGGGGCGTGTTAGAACGAGCCGTTTAGGTAGGTGTGGTTGACTCTTAACTTTTATAAAGAATATCTCTTTGGATTTGAGACTTTAGTCTTTGCAACTTTACAGATCTTCTTTATGCACCGAGAGCTTGTAACACTCCAAAGAGAAAGGAAAACTTGAAATCGCATCATATGACCCCTTTAAAGCGGTGGTGTTATTTGATTAGCAGACAGAAGCAGGTATTTATAGGTTGCTGTCTTTTAAGACCAAATGCACAGACCTAATACTGACATACATCTGGTTTCTTTCTCAGCTGTTTACCAGAATACCTGCCAAAACGGGTATTTTAACATAGCTTTGTGTGTATGCGTCCGTTCAAGCACAAAGAGATGTGAAAGAGGAATCAATACGGTGTTCATGCGCCGTCTGAATCGCACCTCTCTCTCTCTCACTTTCTGTGTGTGTGTGCGGCAGCGGCTGTGCACACAGAAAACAGTGTGCGAGTCCTGATTCAAGTTCTCTTTCGCTTGAATGGTTTAAAATTGCTTGAATGTGTAAATTGACAAGACAAAACACGTGCAAATGATAAACTTTCACTCAGTGATGGTTAAACTTAACATCTACGATCCTGTTGCACCCCTACTGCAAAGGGGTGGATTTCTGGAAATTTTCTGGAAACTTTCCATGGGAACTAAAAAGGAGGAATTTTGACAAACTTCCAAGTTGGAAACTTAACAGAAATGTATGGGAATTAATTGGAAATTTGGGGAAATTTCAAGAAACTGTATAATTTACAAACAACGTTTTATTCAAAGAATCCTGAAAAAAGTATCTCAGGTTATATATAAAAAAATTGATAACAAATCAGCATATTAGAATGATTTCTGAAGGATCGTGTGACACTGAAGACTGGAGTAATGATGCTGAAAATTCAGCTATGCATCATAGAAATAGGCCTACATCATATTTTAAAGTACATTAAAACAGAAAACCATTATTTGAAATTGTAATAATACTTCACAATATTACTGTTTTGTTCTGTATTTTTGATCAAATAAATGCAGGCTTGATGAACATAAGACATAAAATAGTAATGTGTCCAAACTTTTGACCAGTACTGTACTTCTGTATGATAACAGAAAACTGGCTAGCAGAAGCTACAAGAAAGAGCATCACAGCCTGAGCTAGTTAGCACATGATACCTAGCCTCATAAATGATCAATGAAATAGTGCTAACTAGCTTACATTTTTCATATCTGATTTACTGGCTGGCTAGCTACTGTATAAACACATTTTGGTATTTGCTAGTTAAACTTGAATGCCATAGATCAAATATATTTTCCCAAGTAACATCAAAAAGCCTGGAAAATGAGGAGGAATTCCCCCATTAGGTGACTAAGGCGGGATTGTGTGTGGGGAAGGGTCATTTTTAGACAGGTTTTTTTTTTAATCTCCTCACCTAAATGTTTGCTCAGTCAGTGTATTTGTTTTTACAATGGTATAATTTTGTTGCGCAATAGTTTACACACAGCACAAGAAAGTTTTAAACATAAATTTATGCAATAAGCAAGTTACGTGAATACTCACCAAGATGGACATTTAGACATCATTTTGTGTTCAGGATTCAAGAAATTATTTGTGCATGTTATGGAGGAATGCACGGTGCATGTAGGGTGTGTGTGCTGTGTGCATGTGATTGAGGTAGAAATTCAACTGAAATTGCATTAAATCTGGTTGTTTTAACCAAGATTATGCTGCAAGATTTTTTTTTTCCAACTACGTTCAAGTTCCCTGTTCCTGCTATTTTTTTTGCAAATTCCCAGTTTATTCCCATGGAAATTTTCCAGGCTTGAAAATTCCCAGAATTTTGCAACCATACTAAAGACTGAGGTCAGTGTAAGGTCAGAACGCTGCTGTATTCTGAGAGCGGAAAAACGTTCCTCACCTGCCGCTTTGCATATGAGGTCATTCAACATGCATGCACAGTAAAACACACCTGACCGCTGCAGGAGCTCCGTCTGATGTAATGGGACTGGTGTGTGGTGTGCCTGATCTATGAGTGTGTGTTTATTCAACCGTTCTGTTATTCAGTCAACATGCACCGAACAATGCATGAGAGAAATGAAATGTCAAAAGAGCTTCACTGAAGGTGCTGGTTTGTTTCAGGACTAGAGTTGGGAATCTTCAGCATCCCACGATTCAATTTAGATTCAGAGTCAATCGGATTCCAAAACGATTCTTGATGCATCTCAATTTTTCCAGTAACTTATACAGCACATGTTTGAAAATCTTTAGTGAAATTTTATAGTACTTTATACAATAATATGCTGGCTATCATCCACAAACAAAAATAAAAATTAGTCGGTTACGTACATACGAAATAACCAATTTAAATATATATATATATATTTATTTTTTTTCCCCTCCACACTGTTTTCTTAATCAGTAAAAAATAAATAATGTCTGCCGATTACCAGCACCATATAATTTTTTTAATCACCATTAAGTGAGATGGTCAGATAAGTAATTATTTATTGTAATTAACATTAATAATAACAATAACAACAACAACACAAATTAAAAATGCACATGACACACAAATTAAAATAAATTTTAAAATAATATAAATTTATTGGCACCATAGAGGTTTTTGTTTTTAGTCATTAAATGAGATGGTCAGATAAGCAATTATTTACTGTAATTAACATTAATAATAATATATTAATAAAAATAATTACACAATGATAAAAACAAAAAAAACATTACTGTAATTTTACTGCCACCACGTAGTCATTTTTTACTCAACCTTTAACCATAAAGTGAAATGTCAGATAAGGAATGTATTAATAATAATAATTATTATTATTAATTTTAATATTATTAACAACATAATATTGATGGATAAATAAATGTATTGCTGTAATTTAATGTAATTTGCTGGTACTGTTAATTTCTTAACAGACATTAAAAGTGAGATGGTCAAATAAGTAAAGTTTTATTGTCATTAACATTATTATTATTATCATCATCATCAATAGCATCATTACTAATAATATTGATAAACGTAAAATCTATTGTAAAAATCTAAGTCTAAAATCTATAGCTTTAATCTAACAATTTAGTTATTATTGTCAAATTGCAAAAATAAAACTGGTTCCACAGGTTGTCAGACACTTAATTATAATAAGTCATATTGGTAGTTTCATAATAAACAAATGAATAATGAATGTTTGTGGATCAATCCAGAATCATCTGAGAAAGAACCGTGATGCATCAGCGAATCGATTTGTTCAGGATTTGTTCGTGACATATGTGTGTCCACACAAAGTAGCCTCTGTGTGTGTGTGTGTGTTCACTTACCTGGTGCGTGAGAGTTGATTGTCTCTCCCTCGTTGTCAGATGAGGCCGTTAGTGGTGAGGATGAGGATGAGTGGGCTGTGATGTCGCTGTCGCTAGTGCTGCTGTCCTGGAGCACGTCGGGTTTGCGTCTCGCCGCCGCCTCGCGTTTCTGCCGCAGCTGCCGCATGCGTTGCTTCTGCTGCTGGCTGCGCGGGCCTCTGACGCGCACGCGCCCGTTCACCTGCTTCTCCTGGCAGCGGTTCTTCTTGGCCGCCATGGCAACCGTGGACGCATCACTCTCAGAATGCGAACGTCGCGACTTCCTGCCGGCCGTCTGAACGGGCGCGGGCGCTTCCTCCGCTGACGAAAGTGTGTCGGAGTCTCCCAGGTGACCGGAGGAGGAAGGCGACCGCAGGCAGGCGGAAGAATCGCTGTCTTCCTGCACGCAGGACTGGGCGGCGGCTGGGGGCGGGTCAGTTTCCTGCGGCTGCCCGGGGGCGGAGTCTCTATGAAGCTCCTTTAGTAAGCACGGCATGGAGAGCAGACCAGGCGCCGGCTGTTTGTCAGGACTCTGCGAGCTGATTGGCTCCTCGCACGCCGGAGAGCTGGTGGGCGTGGTCTCTTGTCTCAGGGGCATGTCCTGCTCTTCTGCTGTGGCCCCGCCCTCTGTAGGGCATTCAGGGAGCTCGTTGGCCTTCTGGGCATCAGTCATCTCTGGAGGGCGGGGCCAGGGGCGGAGTCTCTGAAGTGGCAGTTGATAGGTGACAAACAGGGGCTGCTGACCTGGAAAACAAGAATTGTGTGTCAGTATAGCAGCTGACAAATGTCGAATGTTTACATGGTTAGTTCTGTTTCTCATCATTCAACCACCACTCAGATACTGTGGATTCCGGGAACCAGCCAAACGCTGAACTATCACGCACCTTATCAACCTTTCTACTAGGGATGCACCGATATGAAAATTTTGGCTGATATATCGTGCATCCCTACTTTCTACATGTCATTGGACTCAACGCACAATGCTGTATTTCACGAGAGTCTGGCCTTGAAAAGTTGTTTCAAAACTTCATGTGCATAAACAAATTTTTTGCTGCGGCCTCAGTCACAATACATGAAAACTTACAAATATTAAAAAATCACTTATGAGAGACTGATCTCACAAACAACAACCTATATACAATATTTAGATCTTCGATCACAACTACAAAAGCTCATACTGACTATATAAATAAATATTCAGGTAACACTTTACAATAAGGTTCATTAGTTAACAACTTTAGTTCACATGAACTAAGCATGAACAATACTTCTACAGCATTTATTCATCTTATTTCATGTTAATTTCAACATTTACTAATGCATTATTAAAATCAAAAGTTGTGCTTGTTAATATTAGCTAATGCACTGTGAATTAACATGAACTAGCAATGAACTACTGTACATTAACAAAGATTAACAAACACTGCAATAAATGTATTGTTCATTGTTTATTCATGTAAGTTAATACATTAATGGAACCTTATTGTAAAGTGGTAACAATATTCATGAATAAACTACAAATGTTTATACTGACTAAATGTTCATGACTATCAATTCCATGACTTTTTCAGGATGGGAAAAAAATTTTTAATTTTAAACTTCTCTCAAAACTCATGAGCCTGTTTTACTTTCTACCAAAACACCTCATTCAGAAATCTGACGGTCAATACTTGAAATACATGAAGAAAAAAATAGGCACACATAAAAATAGTGCCGTTTATACATCACAAATATTGGAATTTTATTTTTGTATACTGTTATATACTTCCTTTACAGTAAAATTAACATTTACAGTAAAACAAATTACAGTTGTGAATAAGAAGTCACATTAATAAGAAAAAAAGGAGGAACTTGTGATATTCTGAACGGGGAATTGTCATTATTTTTACATCTTCATATGTGACTAATTATCAAAAACCATATGCATTATTACAAGCCAAGCACGCAATGACTGCCACAGATCAGATTTCTGTAACTATGTTTACAATCTGTAGCAAAGAGATTTTAGATACCAGAGTCAACTATCAAAACGAGGAATTAACATACAGATTCTGAAAGCTTCTTGCACGTTTTAAAGGAGATCCCACATTCATTCCGACAGCAATTACTGCAGCAGCGATGGTATTTTGGCGAAAACTGTGGTTACCATATGTTTATACGAGCTTCCATAACATGACTAGTTCCTCTCGCAGGCACTGAAACATGAACCAATCATCAATGCATCATGAGCCGCTGCTAATGAAGCATGCATCAGTGTGTTTATCAGTCCTGTCTGCAATTAATACAAATCAATGCATACTTCCTCAACATCCCAGAATCAGTTTATAAATCATAGCGCGTGCGTGCAATTCAACGCAACTCAATGCACCGACGCAGCTGCGAAAGACACGAACGGGACACCGCTCTTAAATAATTACAGAGACAGGAAAACAGTAAAACAAGCGAAACTAAACGTTGCACGGCGCTAATGAAGACACTGCAGCACAAACGCTCGTCCTGCGACACGCTCAGTCTGGACACAACCGCTGCACTATAACCGGCACATCTGCACGTTGCGTGGATACAGCACGCATATATGCATGTATGAACGCGTGCATTAATTAAAGTGAAAGTAGGACTGGGTCAAAACTGCAGTAGAGGTTCAAAATGGAGAGGCGCAGTGCTGAGAGCTCGCTCGACCGCCGTCGACTGCAGCTTACCTGGTTCAAATCTGTCCTCATGTGTGTGTTCCCTGGAACTTCTCAGGCTCGCAACACCATACTCATGAGGAAAATATGGAGTTAATTGAAATTTTATGGAATAACCGCTATGTGTTCTCGACTTTCCGACCGCTTTAGCGCAGTTTGCTAATTTAAAATGTCCCCACTAGCCGTCGCTGGAACAAATGTGAAGTCGTCATTTCCGCTGCGGCGGAGTCGGGGAAAACAAAAGGCGCCACCGTGAGACTCGGAGAGGAATTGCGTTTATTACAAGCGCCACAACTCACAACTCACATTTATTGCATTTATTAACACGCTTTTTATTAGATATTTTAAATTATCGAGATAAAGTGTTCACGAAGTCCACTTTCTGCTCCAGCTGGGCACCCTTGGGAAAAAGAAAACGTTACTCAAAAATTATGATTTCCAATAAAGGTAAATAATATAAAAAAAAAATAAATGTCAAAATAAAACTACATTTATAAATAAAATTACCAGCTCACGTCTAGCCTCCTCGATTTTCACCCGTGCAAGAGCTGGACTCTGAAAAAAAAAGTACAACCGTAATGAAAACCAGTGTTATTTTAGTATCATTGACATACTATTGTAGTTTTTATTCATATTTTGAATCAGTTTTTATATTTTCCATTTTCATTTTACTTAACATTTTGGTAATTCTGTCATTTTTTATGCCTATATAGTTTTTATGAATGTTTTTATTTAGTTTTAGTCATTTTTATTTTTGTTTTAGTATTAGTTATTTTAGTATATCACGTTAATCTAAATTAAAATGATTTCAGGTCACTAGCTGGGCACCCTTGGGAAAAAGAAAACGTTACTCAAAAATTATGATTTCCAACAAAGGTAAATAATATAAAAAAATAATAAATGTCAAAATAAAACTACATTTATAAATAAAATTACCAGCTCACGTCTAGCCTCCTCGATTTTCACCCGTGCAAGAGCTGGACTCTGAAAAAAAAAGTACAACCGTAATGAAAACCAGTGTTATTTTAGTATCATTGACATACTTTTGTAGTTTTTATTCATATTTTGAATCAGTTTTTATATTTTCCATTTTCATTTTACTTAACATTTTGGTAATTCTGTCATTTTTTATGCCTATATAGTTTTTATGAATTTTTTTATTTAGTTTTAGTCATTTTTATTTTTGTTTTAGTATTAGTTATTTTAGTATATCACTTTAATCTAAATTAAAATGATTTCAGGTCACTTTTTTATAGTGACCTGTAAGCTATATAATAATCCTGATGAAAACAAAACAAAAAATGGGTAAAATAACAATAATAGAATTTTAGTAACTCTTAACAATGATTTATTTAGATGTGGATGTGATCATTTTATTGAATAATGTGTCCTTCATACTGTGCATTGTGCTATGACAAAATTATTATTTATTAACCAACCCACACAACTAAACCAAGCAGTGCTTTCCTATGCAAAAGTCACATGATGGTTTCCATGTTCATTATAATGCTGTAATCTTCATAGAAGTTGTACTTACAGGGCTCAAGTCACTATACGGCTCTAGTTTCTTCTTTAAGGGTAGTGAGGCCTCTTTCAGAGCTGCGATTTTCTAAGAATAAAAGATGAGAGAAATTAAATAAATAAAATTTCAAACCAGCCTGAAGGTGCAGTTCTATTACAGTCCATATTCATTTAATATTTTTTTTACATTTATGAACATATTAAAACCTTAAATTCCAATAGGAGGTGTGCACAAAAGTGTCCACAAAAGATGTTTATGAAATATCTATAGGTTGATTAATGTCTAGGTTTATGTCATTTGACTGCAAAATCAACAAAACTGCACATGGATCATTTTATTTCATTCCAGTAATTACGACGCTGCATGAATATGGCATCGATCTGAAATCTGGTCAATCAGTTTACCTCTGATAACTGCAGGGTGGCCTGATGGGGAAGAGAATCCTCCATCTGCCGTGAGTCCAGCTTTTCCTGTTACAAACACACAGATTCTGTTTGCATTAGGCTGCATGGAAGCAGGGTTCCTACACGTTCCATTTCAGAATTCAATACTTCACCAGACTCAAACTCCAAACCTTTCAGTAGATTTTCAGACCATATTTAACATAAATGGTTCATAGAGCATTACTTTCAGCTTTATATTTGGTATATAGTACAGTCATCTGTAAATATTTTGATTTTCTCAGGGGTTTTTTCATTGATTTGCTTGCATACATACATACATTCATACTTTTGCATGCACACAAGTTTTTCGTGCCCTTGAGAAACTATTCACATGTGCACTGGAATATTTTGCGTGCTTATGCATTACATTTTGTCGTTTTATACACTATAACCCATTTCCTTTTGTGTCACTGCCATCTTACTATGAAGAAAATGAGAGCTTGGATGCACATTAATTAATACAGATCCATTTGCTCAATATTTGGCTTTCATTAGGCTAGAACCTCTAATATCAAGGCCTACACTGTAAAAAATTACCGTGAATTTAATGGTAAAAGACTGTAAAAATGCTACAGTAAAAACCTGTTAAACGGTTAACGGTAAATTCCCCTACTATATACGGTGAAAAACTGTATTGGACATTACATGAATTGGACATTAATTTTACGGTAGTATACCGTTTTTGGAAGTGAAAAGACCGTATAATTTACAGTGAATAACCGTAAATTGACATTCCCAGAATTCCCTGCATTACATTTCAAATTTGATGTTTTTTTGTTGAAATAACTATGTTTCTTCTTAGTTTTTTCTTATCAGTTTTGTATATTAGGGTTGTGTGTTACACCTAATGTTGTTAAATGAATGTTTTTTGCATTATTTCAGTTTCATGTGTGTTACCGTGATGGTGTTTAGTGTTTGTGTGAATGACACTGTGCACCTTCTATATACAGTATGTTATTATTTAAAAGCTGCTTGTGATGGGCTTTGGTTCATCATGTGACTTTCTCATCACCACCTGCTT